GGTGTGGGGGGGGGGGAGCAGGGGGAGATTGTCATGCTGCAATCCCTTCTCCTGGTGTGATCTTTAAAGTGGAGCCTGGAGATCTGAGACCCTTACAGGGGCTCTATGAGGTCAAAACCACCTTCACAATAATATTAAGACTTTATTTGCCGTTTTTCACTGTGTTAAAATTCGTACTAATAGTGCAAAAGAACTGGTGAGTAAAGCTGTTGATACCATAGCACAATCAACTCAGTGGTATTAATTTCACTAAGGATGACCTTGTAAAGAAAGAAGTTATAAGTGTTATTAAATCTCAACCTGTAAACAGGACTCTTTTTCTTTCTTTTCATTCACCAGAGACAGAGAGAGATGGAAAGCAAGAAAGTACACCCTGCGGGAATAGTCACACCACCATCCCTTCTCCACTTCTCCCTCCGTATGGGATTTTGGGCACACATTCCTGGCATGTTTTTCAAGCCACCAGGTCCAGGAATGGGACTGCATAGTCACCCACATTGGATTCAACCACCTTAACCACCACACCACTGGCTGGCTCAATAAATGCACTTTTCAAAAGATACTGCCCCAGAGTTCACATTACCTGCAAGGCTTCAAAATTTTCTTTCCCCCAAAATGCAGTTAATCCCTAAGGACTTAATTAATGTTAGAGCCAACTACTCACTGAATTTCTAGAACAGTGATTCAAAAAACATTAGGAGGCTAAATAGCTGAATCTGGTCCTTTTAATTTCTGCCTAGACTTATTGTTTCTATGAGTTTCCATTAGCAGGAAGGAATCCAAATGTGAGATGGTTAATAGGGTGGGAATTAGAAGACAAAAACAAACTGAAGTGTTGGTCTTGATAAAAATTAAGAGGTTGAAAACAAATTTCTCAAATGCTATAAGCAGTAACTCATTAGTATTAGAGAGAATGCATTCCACATTTGTCAATTTCCTGGTATTGCTCAGGAACACCAGGCATTGTGGAATTTGGCACTTTATAGTTTCTTCCCAACTCCGTAAGGTCAGTGGGGTCACCTACAAAATTCTGAAAAGGATCAGTCATCACGGTTCCAGCCTAGTTTCTGTTTCTGGCTAAAATATGCAGCTAAGAGGTAAGTACACATCACAGAAGGGAAGTCAACATTACAGATAGATATTTAACAATGTAAAAGAAACTCATAACCAACTAGTCCTATTAACTAAATTCAATCTACTGTTTATGTTGGCAAAGTGTAAAAGTGAAAGTAATTACAAGTCCTATTGTCAATTCCAGTCACTATTCTTAATACTAGTATTAAAAGCCAACAACAACAACATACATTTCCAGGGGGCCAGAGGGTGGTGTGCTGGTAACACGTCCTCTGTCTGTGACGCCAGACCTGCATAGAAGTCTCAGGTCTGTTTCCTGAGGCCGCTCCGTAAACTAGTCACAAATGTGCACGTATGTGATCCAGGCTGGCTGAGGCTGAGGTCGACTGTGGTATAAAGAGCTGGCTAGGGTACCTGTCTCTCTCACCCTCAGAAGAAATTAATAAACTTTTATTGAAAGATATATTTCCTTGCTTGGGCTTTGTCCTAAAACAATCCAAAGGGGTGGGGTGAAAAAGGCAAAAGAAGAGTAGCTGTGAACTGGCAATAATTATAGCTGAATAAAGTGTCTTGGAGGGCTCATCCTACGTACTTTTTTCTCTGCATGGGCTCAATTGAGATGTTCCATAGTGAAATATGAAAACATACTTTCCTAATGCTTAATCTCTCAGAGAGACTCCGCTCTCATTTAAAAACTGTAAGAGTATAAGAGACAGGAGAGGATGTCACTCTGAAATTAATAAGACCAGCAGATGACGTAGCGGTTACATCCACTGGACTCCCACATGGCTGACCACAGTTCAAGTTCCAGATCTGGTGGCTTCAAACTCATGCCAGGCGCATGCATATGCGTGCCCAAGGTCATAGAAGGAGAATGGCTAAGGGATTGCAGCATGGCCATCCCCTGGGGGCGATTTCTCACTTTCTGTCTCTCTGGCAAGTGCACACATCCTATAACAAAATTCTCTCAAAAAAAAAACCCCAAACCAAAAATTTCCAAAAGAAGAGCCCAGCCACAGTGGCCCACACTGTTAAGACACACTCTGAGGCCACACTGGCACCCACCACGGCCTCCAAGCCCGAAACAGTGGCTCATTCCTACAATCCCAGCTCTTGGAGGCTGAGACAACGAAAGGAACACAAGCTTGAGACTTGCCTGAGCAACATAGCGAGACACTGTGAAGAAGGGCTGGAAGTGATGGTGTGCACACTGATGGTCTGAGCTACTTGGGAGGCTGAAGCAAGAGTTTTTTTTTTTTAACACAGTTACAATCCTGTCTTAATTAATCAGTGCATGCTAAAACAATGTTATAGTTAAATCAATGGTTCAACACCTTGAAAATGTTATGTAACTAGTGAAAAGATCATGAGAGGGATTGGCAGATGGTGTAATGGTTACGTCTCTGGACTCCCACGTGGCCAACTACAGTTCCAGTCCCAGGCCCAGTGGCCTGAAACTCACACCAGGCACATGTGCATGCATGCCCAAAATCCTGAGAGGAAAATGGAGAAGAAGGGATTGCAGTGTGGCCAGAGCACACACGTCCTACAACAAAAATCTCTCTAAAAGAAAAAAATAAATTAATTAATGATTTTAAGAAAAAGAGCAAGTGGGACCAGCAGTTAGCGTAATGGCTAAGTCACTGAACTCCCATGTAGCCGACCGTGGTTCAAGTTCTGGATTCAGTGGCTTAAACTCACGCCAGGCACGTGTGCATGCATGTCCAAGATCCCGATAGGAGAATGGAGGAGAAGGGACTGTGGCGTGGCCATCCCCCCAGGGGGTGATTTCTCGCTATCTCTCTGTCTCTTTCTGGCGAGTGCACGTGTCCTATAGCAAAACCCTCAAAAAAAAAAAAAAAAAAAGATCATGAGAAATACAATGAATCAACATGGCAAAATCTTTAATTCACTTAGTGAAATAAGGAGAGCATTATGTTATCATTCTAACACATAAAACATATATAGTCATGCATTGTATAATGCTTGGGTCAACAATGGGCTTCGTGCACAATGGTGGTCCTGTAAGATTATAATAGGCTATACAACATAGCCTAGGCATGTACTAGGCTATACCATCTAGGTTTAAGTAAGTATGCCCTACTATGTTCTGAAATCTTCCAACAATATACTTCTCAGAACATATCTCACCATTAGGTGACATATACCCTCCCTCTCTCTCCCTTTCTCTATATGCAGGGACTACTCAGGATATAACCATGGGTTTTGGTGGTAGAATTGTAAATGAAAATTTAAAAATCTGTTATAACGTTGTTTTATTCAGAAATTAAAAAAAAAAAAAAAAAGACACATGGCCATGCTGTTCCCTAATGACTGCACAGAAGCGCCTCTTAAACCTGTCTGTAGCACAGAGCCAGGGAATGCAGCAGGAAGACTGTCTGCTGAGCGACACGGAGACCCCAGCAGCACGAGAAAAAGGATCGTGCTGTTGCTAGCTAGCTATGCGGTATTCAAAGGACAAACCCTTGGTACAGAACAGAGCTGCTTTCATAAGTCCGTCATTTGCTAGTCATTAGCACTGGCATACATACCATGTAAATATGAGGCAAGAACCTTTTCAACTCATTAAAAACTGTGGAAAAACCAGAAAACTGAAATATGGTCTAGAGAAAATTCATCAATGTTTAGCTTAGGGCAAATCAGAAAGTTGTAATGCCCACAAACTAAGAAGAAATTGGTCCAGCTTTAATATGGGACCAGTAACTCTTCTTTCAATACAACATTTCTGAACGACTCGCTTTTTTGTGTTGTTTTACTTTGTTTTTGTTTTGAATTCTGAAAAGCGTTTTCCAACATGTCCCTAATGAAGCTTGAAATTAACATGGCCTTTTCAATTCTTTCTTTGTGCACTAGCATGAAACAGAGTTTAGATCTAGGAAACAACACGGGGTAGAAGTAGGGCAATATTAGAGAGGCCCATCTCTTTACTGTTTACATATCCTCAGGGTTGATAAAACGGTGGCTGGCTCATTGTTCCATCTTCTCTGTCTAGAATGGCTAAATGGCCCACAAGTCACTGAAATGTCCATTTATGGGTTTTTTGGGGGGCAAAGATGTAGGCAGGATAGACCAGCTCTATAGCACAGAAGTTAAGCCCTGTGCACAGGGAGTTGGATCTCAAATGGCTGACTGTTTCCAAGACCCAGACAGAAAAAAAGTAACTATTGGAAAACACACAAGGCACACACACATGTGCGTGCACCCAAAATCCTCACAGGATGGAGAAATGGAGGAAAAAGAATTGCAGTGTGGCGATGCCCCACACTGCAATCCTTTCTGGCTCTCTCTGGTCAATGCATATACCCTCTAGCAACTAAAAATAATATATACTAAAAGAGCTAGCAGGTGGTGGGGTGGTTAAGGCGCTGGATTCCCACAGACCATCTGTGGTTCCAGTCCCAGACATGGCAGCTTGAGAATCATGCCACACGTGTACATACCCAAAATTCCAGGAGAAGAATGGAAGAAAAGGGATTGAGGCATGGCCATCCCTCCCCCCTCCAGGGGGATGATTTATCACTCCTGTTTCAGAGAGCACATGTGCCCCATGGCTAAAACCTAAAATAAAGGAAGCAGGCAGGAGGTATGCAGAGCTGCCCCATGGCAAAAACCTAAAATAAAGGAAGCAGGCAGGAGGTGTGCAGAGCCGCTCCACCTACTGTGAGATTAAAGTATTGCCTTAAAGAGACAGAAGAGGGAAGATAGGAAATTGCTTCATACAAGTAAGTTTGTAAAACATATGCACTATGTGAGTTAATGCATGTCAATTAACTAAATTTATCCACTCTATAATGTACACATAATTCAAGACACCATGTTGTACAACATATAATTATTTGTCAATTAAAATATAAGAAGAAAAAGAGCGCACACAGATAACCATCTCACACATATGAAACAAGCTGATAAACACACCAAAAGTCTTTCGTACTACATGCTACCGCTAGAAACGGAATAAAAACCTCGAGTCCAAGAACCACACACTTTAGCCTTGAGTCCATTTACAGGCTGACTGAAAAATAAGAGACGACATCTAACTTTCAAGTTTAAAGTTAATAACAATAAGACTGCTTACACATGAGAGTATTCTATTATTATTACTACTAAGTTAATAAAAGAAAGAAAAGGAAAGGAGAGAGATCTGAGAAAGGAAAGGTGACATTTACAAAAACAAAAAAGGTAACTATGCATTTATTAGTTGTCACTTAATTGCTGAGACAGAGTTTAGCTCAATTTTTTCCTATGTACTCACCATGACAGGAGGCCCAGATTAAGAGGAGAGATCCTCGTCCTTTCTTCAGTGTCTGATCAGGTTCTTTCTTTGCTTATGCTGAGATCTTAAAAGAAAAGAAAAAAATGGTCAATAGTTTGTCCCCTAATTGGTCATACTCTAATTAAAGAAATTATATATACATGGACATAAAAACCTGCCAAGAGTAACTACAGAACACTGAGTCAGTCAGTTCCCACTAGTCAAATCTAATTAGATAATGCCTTTGTAAAAATCCTTCCAGCCTTTGGGCTACCAGGTGTGGTGATGGTTAATGCGCTGGACTCCCCCAAGGCCAACCATAGTTCAATTTCTAGACCTGATGGTGCGCGCACGCGGGCGTGTTCTCTCTCTCTAATAAATATCAAAGAAAAAAAGAAGTCAAGTTCTTTGACTCAGCAACTGGAAGCAAGGAGTTCCCATTTACCAATGAGGGATGTCCATAAGAAAAATGGATTTCCCTGCCCCACGCTGATAGGAGACAAGAAACAGGGGATTCAGTTGTTTTAGATACAGTATTTTTAAGATGCCTATCAGATAGTCTGATGAAAATGCCAAATGCTAGATAAAACGGCCTGGAGATCAAGAAGATAGAGACTAGAGATATTAATGAAAATATTACAGACTATAGACATTAATGTTAATATAGCAGATGGCATTAAAGCCAAAAACACAGGGGTAAACAAAAAGGGAGAGACCAAGGGTTTAGGGTACTACTTAGAAATTGGAAGGATGAAGAAGGATCAGAAAACTGTGTAATAATCCAGGATCATTGTCTTGCTGTTCTTCAAACCTAAATAAACCAAACCTTTGTGATTATGAACAAGCTTAAGAATCCAAATTTGATCCAGTCCCACAGCGCAGCAGTTAAGCCCTGTACATAAGGAGCTGGATTCCGCATGGCTAATCACCACTCAAATCCCTTCCCAGCAGCTTGAAAAATATGCTGAACACATGCGTATACCTGCCCCAAACCCTGACGGGATGGAGAAATGGAGGGAAAAGCACTGCAGAGTGACTTGTACCCCACTGGGTGGTGCTCGCCTGCTCGCTCGCTTGCTCTCTTTCTCTCTCTCTCTCTGCTGAGTACATACATCCTCTGGCACTTAAAAACAAACAACATTTTTTTAAAATTGGTATAAAATTATCTCACTTATTCATTCATTTCAATAAACACTTTTTCATTATCTACTATACTTCCGGTACTGGTCTAGACTGGAGAAACAGTTGTGATCAAAAGTCATGGAGCTTAATTTTACTGCCTGTCTTTCTCATTAGAAACAAATAAATATCTAATGTCAGGCAGTTGGTAAGTGTTACAAGAAAATAAAGCAGGGTTGGAGACAGGCAGTAATAGAGAAGAGCTGTTTAGAGCAGTAAGGGCGTACAAAGAGATAACTTGTTAGAATTAATTAAAAGGAAGAGAGGTAAATGCAAAGAAATTAAGACCGAAGGTATAAACTTATTATTAGAACTAGCTGTTACCGTAAAGAACGTATAAACTTATCATTAGAACTGGCTGTTATCATAAAGTAAAAAAAAAAAAAAAAGGCAATAGCTACTGGGAATTTTTTTCTTTATGCCCTAATGTGGGACCACCAGATGGTGTAACGATTACAATGCTGGCTGGACTCTCCAAGTCCCGGACCCAGAGACTTAAAACTCACGTCAATCACATGTGTTTGTATGCCCAAGATCCTGAAAGGAGAATGGAGAAGGGGTAAAGTCGTAGCTACCCCCTTGAAGAGTGAGTTCTTGCTTTCTGTCTCTCTGTCTCTCTGTCTCTCTGTTGAACATACACACCCTACAGCAAAAATCTCTCTAAATAAATAGTAATGAAAAGAAGTCCTAATGTTCATACTACAAAAGGTTTTTGTGTTTTAGGATGAAAATTCTGACAGCATCATATACAGCTTGAAACTGCTGTATCTTACATGAAAATGAATTTGATGTAACGAGTGGGAGGGCACCACTGTGCGAGAGCTGAGAACGAATGTGAGGCCTGGGTTCGGTTTCAGCCCAACTAAACAAGCTGGGCCTGGGAGCACACGCCTGCAGTCCTAGATAAATGGGAGACTGAGGCAGGAGCACCATGACACGACCCCTATCAAAAATCCTCTCTCCACTCCTGCTTTCTCCCCCCTCCTCCTTCTCTCCCCCTCCAAAGAGGGATATCTGTCCTCTTGATATTTCTAAAGAACTGAAAGTAGCTCAAATATACGGGGTCAGAAAAAAGAGTGGCACAAGTTGAAGCTGGAGAAATACACAGAAAAAGATCATGTAAGTAGAAAGAGATTATAGTCTAAATACAACAGGGAACCACTGTCAGGTTTCAAACAGCATAGTGACATGATCTGATTTTAAGATCTCTTTGGCTGCTGTGTGTGCTGAATAGATTAGGAGAAAAGGATAACGAGAAACAGACAATTACAAGAAGAAGGCAGTGGCTTGATTTAAAATGAACTAATGCAGAACAGATAAAGAAAAGCATATGGATATGAAAGGTATTTTGGAGTATAACAGAACTAGGTTGAGGTCTTGATATTTGAACTAAAGGAGATTAAGGAATTTACAGTCTAGGAGGGAAGATAAAAAAAAAAACAAAAATAGTTCAAAGTAAGAGGTGCTACTGTAAACATCTGAGGAAAGATAAAATTGCAATAGAAATGCCAAATTCATAAGAAAAGGCCAAGATCAAAGGTAACTGAATCAAGTACCTACTGAAGATTCCTTTTAAAACTACAAAGAGCACGTATGACCAATCCTTACAAAACATTCAGCGATTAATACCTGACTTGGAAAACTTGGGCCCCACAGTGGTCATTACCACCACAAAAGGAAGAAAAAGTTATTACTGTTAGTCATGTAATTTAACATTCTTAATTTTTTAATTGCAATATTAATACATATTCCTTGTGAGAAAAAAAAAAAAAAACTTTTTGGAGAGGTTTTTGCTATAGAGCGTGTGCTCTCGCCAGAAAGAGGCTGAGAGACAGAAAGCGAGAAATCACCCCCCATGGGGGATGGCCATGCCACAATTCCTTTTCCTCTTGGGATCTTGGGCACACACGTACATGCACCTGGTGTGAGTTTAAGCCACTGGGTCCAGGACTTGAACTGCGGTCGACTACATGGGAGTCCAGCGATATAGCCATTACACCATCTGCTGGTCCCACCGTATAAGAAATTTTTTAAATATAGATATAAAAACTAAACAAGTACTGTACACTGCTGGTGGAAATATAAAATGTTATGGCCTCTTTGGAAAACAGTGTGGCAGTTCCTCAAACAATTAAACATGGAGTTTGCATCTGACCTAACAATTCCACTACCAGGTGCTATCCACGAGAACAATACCATGACCTTCAGGGCAAGTCATGCTACCTCTGTAAACCTCAATTTCTTCATATGGAGAAAAATAGCAAGGAGAAAAGTTAACAGTTGCATCAAAGAGTTGTAAGAGTTAAAAGATATAATCCATATAATATGTTTAGTATAGTTACTGGTATATAATAAGTGCTTTAAAAATCATTTATACAGGTTAAATGTCCCTAATTTGAACATCCAAAATCCTCCAAAACCTGAAATTTTGTGAGCCCTGGTATGAAGCCACAAGTGTAAAATCTCACACCTGACCTCATGGGACAGGCTGTAGTCAAATCACTGTGATACAAAAATATTGTCTAAAATTAGCTCCAGGCTATTTGGGTAAGGTATATATAAAACATGAAAGAATTTTATGTTTACACTTAGGTCCCATCTGCAAGACATATCATTTTGTACATGCAAATACTCAAAAAAAAAAAAAAAAAAAAAAAAAAAGAAAGAAAAAGAAAGAAAGAAAAAAAAGAAAGAAAAAAAAATCCCAATCCATGCACTTCTGGTCTCAAGCATTTCAGACAAGGAACATTCAACTTGTATGTATATGTGTATATGAATTTATACTTACAACAACACATGGTTTTACAGATAAAGACTGGACTTAATTAAATAAGAAGTTTCATTAAAGAATTTAGATAGGATTCCTAGCAACACTGTTTTCTTCTTGTGCACAAATATGCATGCATGCATACACAGTTATTTTTATCTGAACCATGTAAAAAAGGGTTTACACCACACTACACCTCTTTACCCTCTTCAGTGTGTATTTTCTAATGGCTCCATAACCACAGCTCTAGTTTTCAAATTCAGAAAATTAACACTGATAAAATACTATAACTTACTATCTCTATCCCAATTTTTATGCCTGATCTAATTATATCCTTATAGTGATTGGATCACAAACTGAATCCATGTGTTGTCTCTTTTAATCTGAGGTATTACATTGTTTCCTTGCATCAAAACTAAATAATTTTGTATCTTTCCCTCTATACCTAGATCATGTTTCTTCCTACAAGAATGTAACACTTTAATTGTTTGGCAAATATAAACTCTTAATGCTTTATCTATAGATTGATACTAAAGTCATAAATCGATAAATACTGGATGCTGGTTCTGTGGCAGTGGTAGTGCTTTGCTCAAGAGAAGCCAGGACCCAAGATTTAGAGAGTATTTAAACATATAATTCAAGGGGACCAGTAGTTAGCGTAATGGCTATGTCACTGGACTTCCATGTAGTCGACTGCGGTTTGCGGCCCGGACCCAGTGGCTTAGAACTCATGCTGGGCGCATGTGTGTGTGTGTGTGTGTGCCCAAGATCCCAAGAGGAGAATGGAGGAGAAGGGATTGTGGCGTGACCATCCCCCCGGGGGGTGATTTCTCGCTTTCTGTCTCTCTGTCTCCGTCTGTCTGGTGAGCGCCCATGCCCTATGGCACAAACCTCTACCAAAAATAAATAAATAAATAAATAAACCTACTATTCAAATATAAGGAAAAGCTTGCCTCTATCCCATGAGGGAAATAAACACACACACTGATAAGGCAAAGTGTGATAAGAGATAGAAATTTAATTTCACTGAATACAAAATAAAGACAAATTCTGATCTGGGCACTCAAAGACTTTGTGGAAGACTTAAATTTTAATGGCGAATTAGCCAGATTGAGAGATACTGAGACAAAATGAAGAATAGGAAGGGTACATACATCAGAATAAAATAAAATTACAAATGAGAGAGTACCTGAGAAACTGTTAAATAGGTGTCTTGCTGCAACAAGAAGAACAGAAAGAAAAGAACTGACTAGCTGCAGGAGAGATGTGCTTACAGACCTCTTATAAAGAAGCCCTAAGTGCCATGCTAAGGCTCTAGATCCTTGTTCTACAGGCAATGGCAAACGAAGGTCCCTGAAGGTGGAATGATTTGAATGAAGGAATTTAAAACCAAAACAATTTCTCCTTCCAACAAAATTGAATAATTCCCTAAATTAAACAGATGGCAGAAACAAGGAAGTAAAAAAAAACTTACATAGTTACAGATACAAGTCTATGAAAAGATCATTTTATGGGATAGGATCCACACTGGGAAAAGAACTGGTAAATTTTTTAGAACTGTTTTTCTAACTAAACGTCACATTTGTACTATTAACTCTAGTAATGAGAAGCTTTGGTTTTCATGTAACTATATAGCTGAGTAAGAACAAAAACAGTTTCTCCTATTGTAGGAGGGAACTTCAAAAAGTTCATAGAAAAAAATGGAATCGGGGCCAGGTGGTGGCACAGCGGTAGGACAGATGGGCCCACAGGGCAAACCCTGGCTCATATCCTAGGGCCTCCCCGAGCACACCAGAATCCAGGTAGGATAAGACTGAGGATGGGATCATGGTATGAAGATCCTGTTGGAGGTATCTCTCTCTCTCATGGAGAAAATAAACTTTTTAAAAAGGGAATTAAAGAGGGCCAGCCAATGGCATGGTGTTTAAGGCAGCTGGCTCCTACAAGGCCAACTTGTGGTTTGAATCTCAGACCCAGAAGCTTGAAAAATATGCCAGGTATGTGTACATGCATGCCCAAAATTCTGAGAGGAGAATGGAAGTAAACAGACTGTGGCATGATCACCACCCTTGGGGGAGAGCTTTCTCACTCTGTCTCTCTCTCCCAGCTAGCACACATGTCCCGTAGCAAAATAAATAAATAAATAAATAAAAGTACAAGTTTATCCTTGTATAAAAAATGTGAAACCCATGTATAATTGGGTTTTTAAATAATACAGATTTTCCTTAAACTTTTGGATGATCCCTCATACTCACAACACAAATTATTTCTGTGATCTCAAAATGAGTGGGGATTTCATCCCAGGAGCAAGCAAGAAATCAGTTCTGCAACTGACGCCTGTGAGTGTCCTCTAACTCAGTCCTGGCACTATCTACCTGGAGATAGCATCAGATCCCACAGGCTGCTGAGGGCTTCGTTCCCAAGACTGGCCCTGTACTTCTGATGCCAACCCTAAGCCTGAATTACTCTTACCTGTGCTTCTAGGCGACTAGCTATAATTCAGGGTTCCCACGATCCCCTTGGTTCAGTTAATTTGCTAGAGCTGCTCACAGGACTAAGTGAAACGGCTCACAGGACTAAGTGAAACGGCTCACAGGACTAGGGGAAACACACCAACTGTTTATTATAAAGGATCTTTTAAGAGATTAAGAAATAGCCAAATGAAAAGATTAACTGGTTACTCATAATCAACTTGTAGCCCCTCCCAAAGGGCAGGGGGGTACAGTAAGAATGAAAGTCCCAATCTTCTGAGCACAGGGTTGTTCCCCTCACAACCACCCCCACTCCCTATTCTGTAGCCATCCTGACTTTCCAAAAGTCACCTTATTAATATAAGCTGTGTGGTCAAAAGACTTGCTATAAATAACAGAAGACAGGAGCCCCATGACCTGTTGAGTTAAGGGAGCCAGATCCACACGGCCATCCGTGGTTTGAACCTCAAGTTTCAGCGGCTTGAGTTAACATGCAAGGAGCATGTGCATGCATGCCCCAAATCTCAACAGAACAGAGCAACGGAGAAGGGGTTGCAGCAGGCCACATCCCACTGGGGGTGTGTTTTCTCCTCACTTCCTCCCGCCCTCTGGTGAGTGCACATGCCCTCTGGCAATAAAAAATAATTTTACATTTAAAATAAAGAAATCACAAAAGACTGTTTTTCAACTTCATTGCTCTGAAACTGTTCCTGGGTTGCTTCAGGATCCAAGGACAAAGGACCAAATACTGTACCCAAAGGATATGCTCATTGCTCTAGTAACTTATAAAATAAAAAAAAAAAAAAGCCTTATTAGGGAGCTGGGAGCCAGGGACCAGCTAAAAATCAAATATATGCATCATAATATCACAATAGGTATTTTAGAAAACTTAGAAACAAGTTTCAAATTAAGAGAAACCCAGAATGGAAAAAGGTTTATTTTAGACAAAAGGCGAGTGCTGTGACTCATAAAATTTCAACTTAAATACAAGTTTTGGGGCATGAACACAGTATTACAACAGCGACATATGTTTTAAAAAAAAGTATAGCCAGTTAGGTGGCATGGTGGCTGGACCCCATATAGCCAACTACATGGTTCAAGTCCTGTACCTAGTGGTTTGAGAAGCACGCCAGGCACGTATGCATGCATGCCCAAAAATCTCAAGAGGAGACTGGAGAAGGGGGTGTGGTTGGTCAGCCCCCCAGGGGGGAGGTGTCTTGCATGCATGTTTTCGCTCTCCTCCCCCCCTCTTTGATGAGCACACAAGCCCTAGCAAATTAATTAAAACAAACAAAAAGCTAACCTGGCCTGAGTCTTGGTTAAAGAAAAAAAAATCCCACATTCAGAGACAAAGCACACACGCAGGCTCAGCCAAGGTGGCACGAACTGCTAACACACTGATGCTGGGTGGCTGAGACCATGTCAGGGACTGAGTTCACTTCCCGGCCCAACCTCAAGAAGGCCGAGTGTGGCAGTACACACCTGCAGTCCTTAGCTAGCTGAAGGCTGGGCAAGAGGATAATGACTCATTGAAATCCTGTCAAAAATAAAATTTTGCAATCCCTTCCCAATTCTCCATAAATGAATAAACTTAAAAAAAAAAAACATAAAAATGAAGGCAGAAAGGCTCATCTAAATAATTACGGACACAACAAACAGATCTCCAAAATCAATCTGTGAATTAATTTTTCCCTACTGCAAAACAGCACAAAGACAGCATGGGGGTGGGGAAAGGGGAAATGAACTTACCAAATGAAGTTTGTCCCAAGAACTTTCTCTACTGGACAGTTTCACAAAGAAACCTGCAAAAGAAACCCAGTTGTTTTATCGGAATCAAGTTAATCCACTTTGTTCTCCCCAGAACACTTAACTTTACAAATTAGAATGCAGCAACAATAGATTTTTAAACTGTTACAATGTGGATTATTTGGTCAACCACAGATTTTAGAATGTTTTAACTACACAATGACCACCTAGTCAGGCCTCAGCATATCTTCAGAAATTGCAGAACTATACAGAGTAGAGCTTTCCAGAAACCCAGAGACACTATTATTTAAAAGCTTTTCTCAGTCAAGTAAGCATCATTTCAGAAGGCTTCTTGAAGAAATCTTTGCCACTACAGGAAGGTACTTTAAAAACTAAGACTTTGTCTGGTGGGTGGCATAGTGGTTAAGGTGCTGAACTCCCACATGGCCAACACTGGTTCAAGTCCCAGACCTGGTGGCTTGCTTTCTCACTTTCCCTTTCTCTCTCCCGAGTCTCCACACAGTGTGGACTCGGTCAAATGTGCCTATACTCCTAAGTAACAGGGAGGTTGGGACAGGAGGATCATAACAACGAGACTCTCTCCTTTCTTTCCCTCTTGTCTTCCTCTCTCTCATATTTGGGGAGTGGGGCGGTAAATGATAAGACACAGATTACTGTAACTCAAAAATTACCAAAATTCCACAAGGTTAACAGTCCAATGGCAGGCATGTGCTCCAAGTTGTCAGGGAGACCAACCCAGAGAGGCTTCACAAAGATGCAGAATCTAAACTGGGTAACATAGATTAAGTGGAATTTAAATAAAAAGGAAGACACTAGGAATAATTTGAACTAGGGTGGTTATTAATACCACAGTGGGAAGAAAGCATGTTTTGGGGAAATAGAGGTCAGAAAGTCAAGCAAGTTCAGAAAGCTAAAATTAAAAATATAGTTAGGATACATTACAGGCTGCCTTGATTGGCAGGCTAAGGAGCCCAGACTTCATTCAAGGGCATGAAACCAAGAGTATTATGAGCAGGGGTAACACCAAAAAATCAGTGGTGCTACACAGTAGGAAAAAGCAGGGATGGTTTGGAGGAGAAAAGTTGTTTAGGATGTTCCTGGGCCAGTGGTTCAGATACCAATTTCTCAGAGCCCAATATCTCAAAGACAGAAATGCAGAAGAAAAGAGTGAAGTGAGTCAAAACTTTATTAATAACTGCCTGATCTTGATAACTGATCTGGTATGAAGAGAAGCTGTCAACAGTAACTGCAAAATTTTAAGGCCTGGGGTGACTAGGAAAAGCATGATATTCTTAAGGAATGAAGAGTAGATTCCAAGGAAGCTAGTGAACTATGATTTGCAGGCTCCCAAATATCAACAGTGTTTTGTCAGCAGGTTAACCAGAGGGAGAAACTGTATTAAATTTAAGAGACAGAGGTCTTACCCCTAGACCTCTAGGGTAAGAATGACAATGCTAGATTTAATTCAAGGAAATCATTTTATCTACTTTGAAAATCATTTGAGATGTTTTAGAAATTACTTGATAATTGATCTATCAACAGCAAGACAGGGCTGCTCATGGTGTGCAGTGGCTAAGTGCTATGCAAAGGAATCCAGACCCCATGGAGCCAACTGAATCCTGGCCTTGGAGCAAGACACTGGGCATGTGTTCAGGATCCTGACGTAATGGACAAATGAAGGAAAAGGACTGCAGCATGACCATGCCCCCACTGGAGGCAATGCTTTCTCCTTCTCTTCTGTCTCGTCAGTGCACGTGCCCTCTTGGCATTAAAAGAAAGACATCCATTAATACAGAAGTGTTTGTGTAACGTTTCCACAGGTGCCCATGAACTTCTAAGAGAGGGACTAGTAAGCCAGGCAGACTGAACAAAAAGGTTCAGGCAGGTGGGCTTGAACGCTAGCAATGACTCTGACTCCTCCTCCCCAATAACCACAATCAACATCTGTCAGAAATCATGTGTCACTACATCAACAAAATTTTAAAAACTGCTCAGGGCCCTTACAACTATTAGCTAGGTAAGGGCCATACAGCGGCAACTCTGAAAGCAGCAGCTCTCTGGTACCACAGGTACATGGCCATGACACCAGCCACGTACACCTCTGAGAGTAATGAACAGGTAGCCAGGGTAGCGGAGTGGAGCAGGTTAACGTAACCCTTCTACTGAGATCAGAGACTGCTCTTCTAGACAGCGGTCAGTGCTGTGCATAGAGGGCTGGGCGATGGTCTGAATCCCAGCCCCAGTGGCTTGAAAAACACACTGGCATGTGTGCATATGTGTCCCAAATACCAACCAGAAGGAGAAATGGAGGAAAACTACTGCTGCATAACCATGTCCTATTGGGGGGTGCTTGCTCACCTTCTCTCTCTCTCTCTCTCTATCTCTCTCTCTCTCTCGCAAGCTCTCAGGTTCACTGACAATAAAAAGAAAAAGGAAAGAAAAGATCACCCTTGAATTCCATCTCCAAAAACAGTTTGAAAAAAAAAAAATCTTTCTCAAGTTACCCGAAATAAGAGGTAAATTTTTACCATCACATATATCACATATTTTACCATATATATAAGATTTTATCTATTATCAGAGATAACCTTAAAGGCAATGAGAATAGAAAGCGAGAAATCACCCCCCAGGGGGGATGGCCACGCTGCAATCCATTCTCCCCTCGGGATCTTGGGCACGCATGCACAGGCACCCGGGTCCGGGACTCGAACTGCAGTGGGCTACATGGTAGTTCAGCAACATAGGCATTAGACTAACTGCTGGTCCCAATCAATATATTTTAATCCCAAATCATGTAATGCTGGATATCACTGTGCTGCTTCATTGGAGAGAGAAGCAATAGGATCTACTCAAAGACCCTTTCTGAAAGATAACAAGGTAATGACGACGAGAAAGGGCATTGAGGCCCCAAGAACACCAAGAAGTCATCTATGTGCCACCCAGCACATTAGCTTCAAATGGTCGGAGAGACATGCCAATTTAGACCAGTATACACTTTAAAAATTCCAACTACAAAAACTAATCAGGTTGAACCAAATACATGAGGAAAATAACTAAGAGGCTGAGGCTCAGGCCAGGCCTTCTGAAATGCTGGAGAAAGGGGATTAAAGCAGCACTTCTTTTATTGACTGGGATACACTTTAACTTCAAAGGAACAATGAGAGGCCAGGTAGGGGCTCAGTGGTAAAACAAAAGACTTACATGGGGAAGGTCCCGGGTTCACATCTAGCAACCTTTCTGAACACACTAGGTGCATGTGTGCATGCCGTGATCCAGGCTGGCTAGGAGTAGGGGTGATCAAAGTGTGAAGACCTAGTTGGGGGTGCTAACTCCTTCCTTTCTCTCAAGAAATAAACTTTTTAAAAAGGGAATGCTTTTCAGTGTGTGTGTGTGTGTGTGTTTGCTTGCTACAGGGCACATGCACTTGTCGGAGAGAAAATAAGTAAACAACCCCTGGGGCCACAATTCCTTCTCTTTCTCAGGATTTTGGGCACACATGCATACACACCTGGCGTGTTTTTCAAGCAGCCAGGTCTGGGACTCGAACTGTGTAGATATAGCTGCCCCATGTCACATGCTGGCCCACAGGAATGCACAGTCTTGTCTCATTTTTCAAATGTAAGATAATTAAAAGTTCAAAACTTTTTTAAAAAGACATTTGTTTTCTTAATCTTTTGTTTTCTAATCCTTTATTTTTCACTAAAGGGAAAATTAATAAATTTCAAAGTACATACACTGAATATTAACAATCAGACTCAGAGACCAGCAGGGGGAATAGAAGTTAAGGTGCTAGATCCCAGATGGCAAGCTTCACTGTTCGAGCCTCAGCAGAGTGAGAATCACGCCAGGTGTGTGAGCATGCATACATGCCCAAAATCCTGAGAGGAGAGAGAAGGGATTGCAGTGAGGTCATCCCCACCAAGGAGTGATTTTTCAATTTCCCTATCCCTCCCTGTCTCTGGTAAGCACACATGCCCTATAGCAAAGAAAAAAAAAATTAATAAATAAATAAGAAACAGATTCAGGGCTACCCACTTGGATCCCATATGACAGCCTTGTGGTTTGACCCTTGGTCCCAGCAGCTTGAAAAACATGCCAGCTGTGTGTGTGCATGTGCACTCAAAATCTAAAAGAAGAAATAGAAAAAGGATTGCGATTTGACCTTTCCCCATGAAAAGGGCTTTCCCTCTCTCCCTCCCTCCCTCTTGCCAGGAGCACAAGTACCCTCTGGCAAAATGAGGAAACAGATTCAGTGTACAATTTGAATGTGGAAGCAATTTTTAAAAATACAGGTGTTCAAATTTAAGATGTGGCTTTACAATGTCACTACTTTGGGTGACTTTTTCCTCATTTCTATTAACTTTTCAGATATCTGAAAGTAGGGCTCTGTAGTATGCTGGATAGAATTGTTCCACAACGGAGAGATGATCATTTAACTGTTAGCTTTAACCATATTTATCAGCTGAGTGGACCTAGTACTGTAGATTAGTCTTACTTTCTGAACCTTTGCTGAAGTTAACTAAAAATGAAAACACCCAAGGACAGAGTCCAAAAGCATGGCTCACTTGTCTCACCAATATTTCTGAGTGACAGGCCCTAGTTGAGGCACTGGGGATGCACAATGATTAAGACAAATTACTTGCCCTTATGCAGCTGCCATTCTAAGTATCAACTATGGTATTCTCACAGGGCTGAATATTCACGGTGTTACTTTCCCCTACTCCCCACTTATGATCATTCTCTGAAAAAAAAAAAAAAAAAAAAAAGATAAAGAACATAAAACCAGAGTTCTGGCTCAGTGAGACCGCCATAGTAATAAGTTTAAACACACATACACCACAAGCAAAATAACAGAAACTATGGGTCTTTTCTACCTCTTTGGAAACACTAAGGTCTGGGAGTTTTCGGGGCTCTAAATGCATTTTCATCATGAGTCTACTCCACTTCTCTGCCAGCTGTGAGGCACAGATAAGCAGCTAAAATATTATCATTTCCTACGGAAAAAAAAAAAAATCCTCTTCTAAAAACAAAACAAACAAACAAAAAATAAGTTAACAAACAGCTGGACTCATTATAATCACACTTCTGTATCAAAGAATATTTACTGATAAGTTTTTTGAGCCAGTAACACTTCAGGTAATGTTCTTTATAGCCAATAAAAGCTGTCTACATAATGACCAAAAGACCAATCCTGTAAAATCTTGTAACTACATTAGTAGTGTTTGGTTCATTTTTTACTTTAAAATTTGTTTTTGTTTTTAATGTGGGAGAGATTCTGAATACATTCCTCAAATGAAGGCCAGCAAGAGATGGAACATAAAATAGTCCCCTAGTGATCAATGCTTAAAGTCATGTGTCTTTATTTTGTGGCTAGAATGCTGACAGCTGCCTTCCAAATGTGAACCCCAAAATGTGGTAAGTCAAAAGCAAAGTAACTGTACTCTAGCATTTTTAAATCTCAAGATTCGGTTGAACTTCACATGCACCTTGCTTTTCACCTCTCAAGAAAATAGGCAAGAAGAAGCCCTGAGCATGTTCTCAGAGATTAGCAACAACCAAAGCAACTTCCACAAATTTGACTGGTACCCTTTAAAATCACTTAGTTTAAAAGTATTTTCCTTTTGAGGCCAGCAGGTGGCGTGGTGATTAAGGTGCTGGACACTCCCACATGTCCAACCCTGGTTCGAGTCCCAGACCTGGTGGCTTACTTTCTGACTCACTCACACACTCTCTCTCTGGTCAAATTAAAAAATAAATGCATGAATAAATAAAATAAAATAAGTAATTCTTTAAAAAGAGAAAGTATTTTCCTTTTAAGCTTAATTCTTATGAGATAAGAAGGACAGGTAAGGAGCCAGCAGGTGTCATGATGGTTAAGGCACTGGAACTCCCACATGACCAACTGCAGTTTGAGTCCTGGACCTGGCAGCTTGAAAATCATGCCAGGAGCGTGTGTGCGTGTCCAAAATTCCAGGTGAATGGAGATGGGATTGTAGTGTGGCCATTCCCTGGGAATAGATTTCTTACTTTCCTTCTCACTGTCTCTGGGGAACATACGTGCCCTTATGGCAAAAGTCTTATTAAAAAATAAAAAGAAAGAAAGAAAGAAAAAGAAAAAGAAAAGAAAAGAAGGTGGAGGAGCACCGAGTATTCATGATGTGTTTACCAGCAGCAGTGCATTAAATCACAGATCACTTGGGAGGGTCTTCAAAAAGTGTAAAAAAAATACATTTATTAAAAGAAAAACACTATATGGATTTCATTTCTTTGCACCAAATTAAAATTGTAGTTTAATTCCTTTTTTTTTTTTGTCCACGAATAATTTAATTGCAAGAGCATGTCAGAGAAAGCAGCACTGTCGACAAGGTCTCGTCATACCTTGATCCCCCTTCCTCAGTCCTCTACTTCCTTGGTAGCCTGGGCACCCAGGCTGTTTTTTTCAGGCTGACACTGGGATCCAAACCTGCTTTTAGCCTTACAGAGCACCATGTTACTGCTGCACCACAGCAGCTGGGCCTCTATAAACTTATTAAGTAACCCTCATGCACACTGCTAAAAAGAATAAAAATTAAATAATTTTTTTCTAACAGAGGTTTTTACTATAGGGCATGTGCACTCGCCAGAGAGACAAAGGGAGACAAAAAGTGAGAAATCACCCCCCATGGGGAATGGCCAAGCCACAATCCCTTCTCCTCTTGGGATCTTGGGCACTAACTGTTGGTCCCTTATAATCATTTCTATGCAGAACACATTCACTTCATATTTTAATACAGATAGGTTAAACTAATGAATAAGAAAGTTCTATTCTTTTCTGACTCCATGTCCTCTATTAAAGACCAAAGTTTAGAAGTTACTATTAAAATTTTATATCTACACCCCATTGTCATGGTACAAGCAGTAGGGCACTGCTGAGGGAGGTTGAGGCCACGCCAGAGATCTGGGTTCACATTCTGGACCAACCTGAACAGAATGGATGTGGTAGCATGCACCTGAAATCTTTGCTAACTGCGAGGCTAAGAAAGAAAATGGCAACGAGAACCTGTTATTATTTTCTGTTATCAAAAATAATAATTTAGGAAAAAAAAAATAATAATAATTTAGGGAACCAGCAGTTAGCGTAAATGTCGCTGGACTCCCATGTAGTCAACCGTGGTTCGCATCCCGGACCTGGTGGCTTAAAACTCACGCTGGGCGCGTGTGCATGCGTGCCCAAGATCCTGAGAGGAGAATGGAGGAGAAGGGATTGTGGCGTGGCCATCCCCCCTGGAGGATGATTTCTCGCTTTCTGTCTATGTCTTTCTCTGTCTGTTTGGCGAGCGCATGCGCCCTATAACAAAAACCTCTCCAAAAAAAATAATTAATTAATTAAAAAAAATAATGATAATTTAAAATCTAATTTTATAAGGTACCATATTTAGGTTTACCTTCTAAAATGAAGAAATGTTATCTATTTCCTAAGAAAGAAGGAATGCTTTTGTTTTGTTTTGGTATTTTTGCTATAGGGCGCATGCGCTCG